TAAGAGTTAGAAATCTTTTCTTTTTAATCACTATCTCAGTTTTTTTTTCTTTCTTGAATACAATAATTACATTAAATGCTCAATATTTCTTATAAATGGTGAAGACAACAATTTAAAGACCTATACTTTCTCATAAACAAATTACTGTCACACCATAATTGAACTGTAAGTTTGGGTCAGCGCGTGCTGATATATTAGTACTTCTTCGCGGACACATCTAGTGGCCATTCTAATGCCCTCAAAGTTGCCAAGAGTTATAATAGTTGTTGTTCTATTGGTATGGTGCTTGATAAACTATTTGGTCTTTCAGATACTCTTCAGGACACCCATCAAGTCTACTTTCGTTATCTCAGTCGGGCTAGCGATGAAACGATAATCAAAACATTAAAGGTTGTTCCTCTGTTTGTTCCAGACAAAGTAACAAATAATTTTAATCGCTTCTTCAGAACGTAAACTCTACTTCACGGAATATGCGACTGTTAAAACATTGTTGCAATGACACTGTGCACTGTGTACTTCACTAAATACACAAACGATTGGTTTGCTAAAGCCCAAAAGTGTTGCTGTCTACTCTGGGCCATAAAGATCTTATCACCTCACAGTCGTCGAGAATAGTCTACAAGTCATTTGTTACCGCAATTATAAATTTTCAAATGTTTCTAAATAGTTCACACATCGGAACTCGCATCAAGGAGATAGTCTCTTTAGTCACTTTAGTAGATACCCGCTCCAGATTTGGGCTTTCTTTGTGTAGTTACGGATTCACATTATTAGCTTTCTCTGGTAAGGTAGTGTTACATAAGCAGTAGGTGATTTCAAAACAGTCTCTGACCAAACCACAACAACTCTCTTTAATTTTATCTAAAATTCAATAGTATCTATAGTGAAAAGACACAGTCTGAACCAACGTACATAGCGGCAAAATTTGAAAAATGTATTTAGACTTTTTTTAGGTGCTCTACTGACTGCTTCGGAAACACTTAAGCATGAATGGCTCAATATGTCAATACTTTCCGGGGTTGAGTGATTTTTTTGTCTTATGTCAGCAGACGAAGATTCCATAGGTATGGATGGGTTTGATATTAGTCGTTTAAATTCCGTAGACCACAAACGGTGACTATCTGCAGAATTAATAGATCTATCATTAAGATCGAATCATAAAATCTTAATATATAATATTAAAAATAATGTAAATATATAATGGATCGAACACTTAGCAGTTGTCATTAAATATATAATAATAGGTAAAAAGTAATACATAGGTGTTTTTTTTCGAAATATTCGACACTTTTATGGTATTTGATTCTATACATAAAAAGTAAAACATAATTTTTAACATGGCATGGTTCTTGTATAAAGCGTTCTCATATCAAAATATAAATTTCACAATTGCTTTATACTTATATATAATTAATATAATCATTTCGTGGATCGGTTCATATCATAAGCGTAGATACATTAATGGTGGACAATATGGGCAGTTGGTACAAGAGTTTTCACTAAAGGTGCTGAGTGAACAACTGGAACTGAGTGTACAACGGGTGCAGCATGTACTGAGTGTACAACGGGTGCAGCATGTACTGAGTGTACAACGGGTGCAATTGTTTTTACTACAGGTACTACTGGTTCTAAGGTTTTGACTACTGGAACAATTGGAGCAGCATGAACTGAGTGTACGACTGGTGCAGCATGGACTGAATGTACGACTGGTGCAGCATGCACTGAGTGTACAACTGGTGCAGCATGCACTGAGTGTACAACTGGTGCAGCATGTACTGAATGTACAACTGGAGTAATAGTTTTGACTACTGGAACGACTGGAGCAGCATGTACAGAGTGAACAATTGGTTCCACAGTCTTTACAACTGGTACAATTGGTGCAGCATGAACAGTGGTTTTTACAATTGGAGCAACAACAGATTCTACGACAGCTTTGTTGTGTACACGTGTGAAACTTTGGTGAGAGACAGCAGATGGCGCACTATGTACAACGGCACCAACCTTAGCTACGACTGGTTCCACTACATGATGAGTTTCAATAAGACCAGCACTTGCAGCGGCGGCAATGAAGAGAAGACCGAAAATGGCGTACTGTAAGAAAGGGATTATTAAGGATATAAAAATTTAAATAAAAATTGTTGGAATTTTATAAAGATACTTACAGATTTGCACATATTGCTTTTTGGTATGTTTTGAAACTGTGTTGTCAAAGTTTAAATCCAAACTGTTGATCTTTGCAATCAGTTTCTACACTTTTATACAAAAATGTGCTGCTATATGATATTATCTTCTACGTCTAAACATCGCAAAAAACTTAGTTTTCAATTCATAATTTTATTGTTAAGAGCCAAAGCAGACGTTAAACTACTTGAGTCCCTACAATTGACATATATTACCGGCTTACTGACCTTCATCATCAACGCTTCAAGCTGACATAATAGCTTAGAGTAATTATTACGCACAAAACTCATGAGCTACCTTATCACTGGCAACAAGCAAATTAGTTGCGGCTTGTTATGTACTACAATTACCGAAGGTTGGTGTTTGCATAGGTTTTCAATTAACTGAATTTTGTATTTTATACAAATTTATTTATTCAATTTTGAATTATTCAATTTTCGGATACTTTTGTAAAAAATCGATCTTTGTCAAACACAAAAACCGCGATGCAGCATTTGTCAATTCATCTTAGACTCAAGAAAATATCAAAACGTGAATTAAACCACGTATTTTTATGATTTAATAACTTTGCCTTAATGATTGGGGTCTAGTCACTTTATAGGATTTAAAAATGGGTGTAGCGTTTAATGCCCCCATTGGGATTGGTGCCTGTCAGTCAGTTTCGATTAGTTTATGAAGTTTTGTAACGCATGAGATACTTTGGTGCTAATTTCCATACCATGATTTTGCTTCATATTTTATGTTTTGGTTTTGTTTTAATGAAACTAAGGAGTTGAACAGTTCAAGTTCAATGTAGGTTTTTTGTTTCTAATGCCAACCTTTTCAAATATTTAAGCCCTCATTGAGTATTGTGTAAATAATAACAGAAACTGATTTCATTGTTGATTTCTGAATATTATTTTAACAAAAATTTTGCACTGCAAGTAACGAAAAATTATAAACATTATAGCAGTATTTTCTTATATTTGAAGATATATTTTTCCTAAACTTAGTTTAAGTTTATATGAAGGGCATTTTTATTTTTGCAAATAAAAATTTTGTGAAAAATTACTATATATAAAAATTGCAATTTTAGATTTCATCATCAGTTGACTAATAATCTCTTAACTTCAACTATTAAACAGCATTCAAAAGAATTCAATAAAAATGTTCAGATTTGTAAGTAAAATTTTATTTTTACCTATTTATCATTTATTTATAATAATTTATATTTATATCTTCAGTTTGTTGTTTGCGCCTTAATTTCCTTTGCCGCGGCTAACCCAGGATTTGTTCAACCTGTTGTAGCTAAAGTGGGAGCTGTCGTGCATAGTGCACCATCTGCTGTTTCTCATCAAAGTTTCACACAAGTTCATAGTGAGGCTCATGTTGTGAGTCCAATTGTTAAAACTATTGCTGCTCCAATTGTGCCAGTAGTGAAAACAGTAGCTACACCCGTTGTCCATACACAGTATGTAGCTGCACCTGTGATTAAAACTGTTGCTCCAGTTGTTCCAGTTGTTAAAACGTATGCACCTGTAGTGCCCGTTCTCAAAGCTGTTCCAGCACCCATCTCTTACCAAAGCCATAACCAAGTACATCTACGTAAACCTGTAATTGCTCCAATTATAGCTTCGGTTCCAGTGGTGCATGCTGCTCACTTTGTTCATTAAATTTGTTGATTTTTTTTAAAGAGATTGTAGTCAAATAAATATTTGTTTTATTTATTAATCAAATTGTTGTTTATTGCATTTATAATCTATTTAATAGTTGTTTGTACAGAGAATCTATTATTTACACAAACAATTTATGTTATTTACACTAACATATATCAGTTGAGTGATAATCTTGTGTACTAAAATTCACTTGAGCACAAACAAATAATTGTTGTGATACCATGGATGAAGACGGATAAGTCCGCACGACAGACTTAAGGGAACACATTAAAGATAAAAGTTAGCAACATATTTTTCACAAATAGGTTCCCTCTGGAAAGGGATGATTACCTATTTAAGTTAAAGGGAACCATTCTAACAAGTCTATAAACTTATCATTATCCTTAATTTTAAAGAATGCCAGATATGGCAGGTGGTTCAGAAACGAAATCATTTCTACATTGAAAAATTTTGAATCTTCCTTAGCCAATGATAAGAACTCAATACAGTATTTGTCTCATACGTAGAGTCATAACCTAAAAACTGTTAACCTGTTGAATCGAGTAGTAGTTATACTATGTACATGTAAGAATTTTGCCCACTACACATCAGGTGCGTATTGTAATATAACAAGAATCGTCATTTGCCTAGCGGTTTCTTGTTAAGGCTAGGTATTTGAGGTTAATAATAACATATATTAGGTATATAAAAAAAATTTTAAACATACACTTCTATCACTATTACTTTGTAAATAACGATGCAAAGAGCCTAATATAAAA